TTTTAAATATTGTTTTGTATGTGTTTTGTGATTAATTTGGCAATTGTAAAAGTTATAATAGCGTTCATGAATAATTAATCTCCAGTAAAATGCAACGGATGACGTTACTGCAGTAGAATAAACATCAGAGGACACGAGGTCTTTAGAGGATCTTAACTCATCCTGTTTGAGTGGCTAAAGGATAAGTAGTTATAAAAAGCATGAATGGAGAGGCGCATGCTGGGAAGTGTAGTCCTCCCGGTGGCTAGCGGATATGACGGGTGCGTTGTCTAGCTTGTAGCTGGGTGTCTTCTGCTCTGCTTTGCCTTAGTTGGATGAATCAGGCAACGTTGACACTCCTTTGGGCTATGACTGTGCTTTTGTAGTAGAGAGCTACCTTCAGCCACACCGTTAGCTTGTTGTCACATTTTTAGGATTACGTTACCCGGACAGGAGGACGCGAGCGCCAACGCGCTATCTGGACAAAGTTGTGTTTATTTGTTAGCCTTAATATTTATTCAAGATGGCATTAGTAATGTTTTCTGTTAAAGGGAGCTAACTTAACTGGAGCTAGATGGCTAGCTAGCGTGTGATCAACTTGTGAATCTCATAACTTGTTAGTCACTGTGTGGGCCATAACGACCTTTACCGATTCATCAGAAAAGGGGGCGAGCCGGGGGATTTGTAGGCGATATATTAGCCAAGTGGCATAACAACGTGCCCTGAGAACCAGAACCAAGTTTAACAGGGTAACATCTGCTAGCATAGTGAAGCTAGCCAGTTAGAATTAGTATGATGAAGAAGGCGCAGTCTGACACATTGGGGTTTGTTCCTCAAAAAGACATCGTATACAACAAACTTCTGCCGTACGTGGAGAGGCTCGATGAAGAATCCAATGACATTCTGAGTAAAATAAAAGGAAACTTGTGCCGAGCTGTGCAGCTCAGAGAGATATGGCCCGGTGTGCTGTTCTGGACGAGGAAACTTTCCACGTAAGTAACAGTAAATGTCAGATAATCTTTGGTATCCTCAACAGCTGTTGCTCACTTTATAATGTTTTCAATCATGAGACTTTTAAAGTAACCAACGTGTTGTGCAACGTGTCTCTGTGTACTTTGTGTAATTGTCTGTGGGGCAACATTTACTGTTTGTTCTTGTGGCAACTGTAACGTTACATACTCTATGACGACCTCAGGAAGTCGCATTGTTGTACAGCCTGGTATGTTTTTATGAAGGTGACGTTAAGTGTCAGCTGACGTTATGCCTCGACACTACAAACTGCCCAGTGTGTCTGATTAGTGATGGTCTGGGTTTCATAATCTGGGCAATAGTGTGTCAGATACATAACCTGACAGCTAGCAGGCCTTTGTCATCACTGATGTTGTGCTTGTGTGGCTTTGAGCATTTATTTTTGAGTCACCTGACAACTCACCTGATAAAAATAGAAATAACACATTTCAATGTTATGGACTTCCTTATGCGGTTTCCTGTGTTGTTGCTTCATGGAGTTCTTGTTTACAACCAGCTTTTGATTTGCAGAGATCATCTCAATCATTACTGTTATCTGCTAGATAAGACAAGTCATCCCTGTTTATTCTAACTTTACGAAAGACAGTAAATCATAGTATTTGATATGTTACTCCCTTTTTGCATTCATCTTTCAGTGACATTGTTTTCGTAATAAGTCACATTGCGCCAGCAATAATACAGTCAATGTGACTGTAGGTTACTTAAAGTGCTGTTTAATTTCGATTGTACTTTGTTGCTGGGCTGTCCTTAATCTGTTTCAGTTCCCAATGCTGGCTCATTGCTCTGTTCTTGAGTCACTTCCGGCTCAGACAGATGGAAAGTTTACTGTGGGGTTGACCCAGATTCTGTTCACTGGTGTTTAAAATAAACAAAAAGGTTCATTTCAAAGGTCTCAACAAAGTTTTTTTGTTTTTTTGTTTTTTTTCAGCGTTGGTTGTCACTAATAAAATACATGTTTGCTTTTAAAATTTGAGTTTGTTAGGATTGTATTTTATTTCTTGTATGCCTTTTAAAAGAAACATTTTTTTATTGTTCATGCTGAAACTGGAGCAATTATCTCTAAATCTGTACTTCTTATTTAGGTACATGAGACTGTATGGACGAAAGTTCAGCAAAGAAGACCACGTACTGTTCATCAAGCTGCTCTACGAGCTAGTGTCGATCCCCGAGCTGGAGATCAGCATGATGCTGTGCCTCGCACGGCTCCTCATCAACCTCCTCAAGTAAGAACTTCAGCAACTTGTACGCATGTCAAACACACAGTTATCAAAAATGAGGTAAACTTACGTGTTTCTGTTTTTCTCAAAGAGCTAAGTTAGATGCTAGAAATGCTGCATCCTCATACTAAACATTGCTGTGTAAGGCTACATGATGAGCTCGCATCTGTGTGTTTATTCTCATCCATCATGTCTGATTCATCTAACAGGAAAAGGGAACTACTGTCGAGGGAGGACCTTGAATTGCAGTGGAGACCACTGTATGAGCTCCATGACAGGATTCTGTTCTCCAAGACAGAGCATCTGGGCCTCAACTGGTTTCCCAAGTATGCCTCTGTCCTTTACTGTTGATATTATGAGTTTTTTTTAAAAGCATGCCTAATCAATCACTTTAGGAAGTGCTATGGATATATATCCAAAGAGAAGGGCACATTCACTACATTTTAAAGTGTACACATTTGGTGTTTTTTTCATTTTCTTCAATTACACCCTCAGTTGCCATCAAGCTCCAGCAGAAACTCTGGAGTGTTTTTTTTTTTTTTTTTCTTTTCCCCCCACCCCCCTTTGCAAATTAAATTTCTCAAATTTTGACGATAGTTAAGTAATTATTGAAGAAAAATACTGCAGAAAACTGAACAATCATTTAGGCATGTCTGTAATTTCCTACACAGAAGAAGGAACATATCAAGTGACTGAATTCCTGTTACTGGAAAAGCTTATGTTGATACGAGTAAGGCTGAAATCACTAAAAATGAAATATTGTAGCTGAACCTCGTCTACACTATTAACCAATACATTCATGACTATTTCCTAATATAACACAAACACCCATTTAGTTTAACTTGGGTTAGCTGCCTTTTCATTCAAATGAAAAAGTCCTGTTCCAAGTTAACCAAATGTTTTGATGTAATTAATCCACCACTTAAACTAATTAGTTAAAAAGATACTAGAATATTTTACGAGTCTAATCATTGTTAAAAATGAAGGTTATACATTGTTAACTTGGTGGCTTTGTGCTTTGACAACTTAACTTCTTCATGAAATGTACACACACAGTATTTTAGTCATCATAGATATAGTTGTATATTAAGAGAAATAGTTCCATAGTTTGATTACTTTTAGGTGATGGGTTTCTGTAGTTTGAACATAATCGTGTTTGTGTAATTGGACTAGTTGTTGTGCGCCCCTTACCTTTTTAATAACTGTACTTTTTACACGTAGCGCAGTTTTGGAGAGAAGCTTAAATGTCACTTTTCCCGATCCGACATCCTTAGACAATCCCTCTGAAACAAGCAAGCAGTGCGAGGTGCTCTTTTATGGTGCTATGGGAACATTGTACATTTATCACATCAACGCCATGCAGGCACGTCACTCGTATGTTACAAGCCACTTTGGCGGATTGCCAGCTCACCTCTTTCCAAACTACACTAATGCATACGGAACATGGTACTAAGTAATTGTATAAGGTGAAGCACAGTATGTTAATCTTTTTTGAGTGATTGGCACTTCCCGCGTGCTGAATGTGTTCTTTATGCCTTTGTCTCCTTTCACATTCAGTTCTCCACGGCCTCGTTCATCCTCTAAACTCATAATGATAAAATTGGTTCAGAGGTGGTAAGGACAATACTTCTTTGTGTTTTACCTTGAATTCATCCTTTGAGGCACTTGTTTTTTTTGTTTCTTTATACATTGCATGTGAAAACAAAAACTGGACACCCCACATTGTGACGGATGACAAATCACGACTTGAGCAATGTTAACATTTCACTCATATTGGAGACTGTCGCACTGCAGCTAACAGATTTATTTTTTACTCTTCTGGTATCCCCCATACAAACCATGAGAGAATGATAGTGTGTAGTTTCTTTTTTTTTTATTCACTATGTGGCAGCAATATAGTAGCAAGAACACATTGACCATATTAGGAAATAATAGAGTTTAGAATTTCTATAGAACATTAATTACTACATAGGCGAAGCAACGGCTTTAGTTTTGGTGTTAATGATCTTATAACAATATTCTATCATTCGGCCAGTGTTCAGGGGAGTTTTTCCG